GAGGGGTATTTTGAATCCACAGAATGAAATTCACATTTAAAATGATTCCAATTTTGAAGAAAATCCCATATTCATTTGTATTGATTTCAATCACTCCGCTACATGAAAATGATCAAATCAAGTAGACTTTAAAGAGATTGCGGAAAAACAAAATGTTTAGTATTAAAAATATTAAGATATCCAATTATAACTATAAAACAAGTGAAATACAACATAAATTTATTTAAATCTTATCTATCTAGTGATTGAATGAGATTTCGATGTACCTAAGGCTCTTATTTTCACTTTTTGAAGTTCAAATTACCAGACTAAAAATAGTAAACTTTCAAGACTATAGAATTTTAACCATAGAAGGAAGAACTCTCAATAAGAAAGAAGAACACCAACCTTTCCCTTTCTTCCGGAGGCATCGAGGCCCTCCCTCAAGGTCATGCCGCCGTTGATTCCTGCACTCAAATTAATTATCAACTCATTAAAACAATTAAAAAAAAGGACTCAAAATCATATATCCAATTTGAGTAAATAAATTGTTGAATCCTTCGGAATCAACTGAAGTGTTTGTTGATGATAACTCACTCACCGTAAGGTTTGTCGGTCTTGAGCTTCTTACCGCTAGCCTCGATCTTGAAAGTCCTTGGCTTGCTCCGGGCAAGAGAAGGAACGCCTCTGACGGCCGATTTCTCGACGATGAACGGAGACGGTTTCAAGCTCAGTGAAGCCATCATTGAGGTTGCCATTCCACCGTACGTCTGCTTCTGTAAAATTCAGGTAGTCCTTGGTTTCGGCTCTGTGGTTGGTTTTGGCTCCAAAATAGGCAGATATTACGAGTAGTAGGAAGCAGGGGATAGTGATTTTGATGGTGACACGCATGAGTGAATGTGTGGCTGAGGTCTGGATATGGCCACAACGTTATCGCGAATGCGAACTCTCTCAGCCGCTACTGCATGGCTGAAGTTATTACCACAATTAAATTTATTAATTCTTTTTATTTTAATTATATAATAAAAAATAATTTTTTTTTATATTATACTACTTAAATTTAAAATTTTTTTAATGTATTAATTTATTATTACTATTTTTAATATTTTAATTTTTGACATAAAATTTTCTTATTCTCACAATATTTTATACATAAATAATGACAAAGGACAAATTAAGATGAGCCTTTGGCTTTAGCCAAAGTAGTTCTTGACTTTGACCTCCTACGACACTTCTTTTTTAATGGAAATTTCATCTTCGTAGATTTATTTAGGAAAAAGCAAAAATTTAGTCATTGAATTGAATTGGGGAAGTTAGTTGGAGTAATAAATAGATTAAAACTTATAACCTAAAAACAGGAATAAAAATGAAAAAGACAAGAACAAAAATAAAAACCACCAAAATAAGTGGACCCATCGCGTGTGCATTACACCTTCTTCCCTCATTACCAATAGAAGTGGGAACTTCTTCTCTCTGCTCTCTTCCTCGACGCCACCACCCTTTCTCTCTCCCAATGGAGTAACTTTTTGAAACTTTCTAGCTTTCCTCTTTTTCACGAGTATACTACCCCCGAAAAGGCAGCTTAGGGTTCGGCCTCACGGATTACGCTCACCTTATCTGCTATTCACTTTACTATCTCTCCGCCCTCAGCTCACTGTTTCCTCACCGTCGTCTTCTCCGGTAATCTTGCGTCTTTATTGTTTTTTTTTTTGGGTTGGGTCTCTGCTTTTCATTAATGGGTTTTAGTTTTTCTGCAACACCCAGTTGGTGGTTTTAAGTTTACTGCCGTCTTTTTGTGTCAAGATGAGATTTTGTTGCTGAGTAAGAAAAGGAAATAATGGTTCGCCTTTTCGTCTTTTTTGAAGGAAATGCTTTTTAGAAACGTACTTGTGAAGTAATTTGGCGTTGAACGGGTAAACATGATCGAATTTATTGTCTTTCAGCTGTAATTCATCAAATGGGTACTGTCATCTTGTGTGATTGAACGCTAGTGGGTCTTCTTCTGTCTGCTTTCGTGGCGAGAAACCTGTGATTTTGGTGGGTTTGCTTGGGTACTGCCAGATCACAGCATTCACTATGTGCATTCATATTGCTGTGGATTTCAGATCACATTCCTTTAGGTGCACTGAGTTTCATACCCGTGTGGATGGCTGTCAATAGCAGGTTTTGTTGTGGTAACTAGATCAATTTCATTTGATGTTACTTTAGGGAGGGGAATTGTTGGGATACTGATGGAGGATATAGGACTCTTTAACCAAGCATGGAAATGGCTGCAATCCCAGAAACATTGCTGTTCCAGAGTGAAAACTGCATTAGTCTGTTGCACAGACAGAATGGCCGTTCTTATGGAGCGGCATTGGCCAATGGTGTGCGATGGGTGTGTGAAAGTGGGCAGGTTCTCACTCTTGCTACTGATTTATTGGAAAAACTGTGCTGTGAGAGGTTTTCAGTGCACTGTCAAACTGGGTTCCGCTTCATTGTTTGTTATAATGTGGAGTTTCTTCCTTAGTTTGACTTCTATGTCATGCTTGGTTTATGTGCTTCTGAGTATGGTAAATCTTCTATACCTTCTATCTTTTTAATTTTATTGGTTTCTCTGTTTGCTGCACTGTTTGCTCATCTTGCTTTGCTTGGTAATTTAGGATCTAGATTTATCTGTTAATAATCTTGATCAAAGTCATTGCATGGATACACTGTTTAAATGTACTTATGGAAGATGGCTCAAAACCCAAAATTCCTGCTTTGAATAAGAATGATAGAGCACCTCCTTGTCCTTGTGTTACCCTGCCTTAGATCTACTCCAAACATCCAAAAGTATACATTCTTTTTTGGGTACTCAGGCAGTTATTGTGCTTAGCTATTTGTAGAGGTTCAAATCCCTGATCTTGACCTCAATCAAAATTTTGAAGTTAGTGGGTACACAACAATATAAATCTATGTTACAATCACATGTTAAATATTCTATATTGCTGGAGCTAATTTGTTTCATTTTTAAAATTTTTGAAGCTGACATCAATGTGATAAATTTCAATCATGCTGTTTTAAAGGCTTTCTCTAGTGAATCACTTATTGGATTCTAGAGGAAGTGCTTATTCCTATGCATAATTACAAATGATCCAAATCTGTCCTGAAATAATTTTGTTTTAATACCTAAATGAATTGCAGGATTTAAATTTGTGTAACAGAAATCTTTCCTCATACAGTTGAACATGTTATTATATGTGTTATTTTTTCTTTCTTTCTCTTTTTCTGGCTATATTATATGCGTTGATAGTAGCATTGGCATTATGTTACTTCCTGGTGTGATGGATTCTAGTTTACTTTACAAACTCATGCAAATATTGGTTTTACGTGGTGGTATCAATCTAATCAACATATAACTCTGAAGTTGGAGTTTACAGGGAAAAACTGAAAATTGGGTTGAAATATTTTTTCAGGGTGCTGCTGGAGCTGCTGTTCAATACTTGGGTTACACTCCTGGGCTGTTTATTGTTGGGTTGTTTGGTATATTGATATTATGGATGTATGCTAACTTTTGGATAACAGGCACATTGTTTATAGTGGGAGGTATGGCTTAGATTCATTGTGCTCTGAGTCTTTAGTAATTTCATTTCAGTAAGATGATTTGGTGCTTTAAATGTTAAGTTTTTTATACTATCTCTCTCTTGCATGCATGCATGCATGCATGCATGCACACATCCACACCCACAGAGTTACAAAAATTTGGACGATAATTCAATTTAACGTATACAGTTTCTATTTTCCTTTCAACAGAGGTTAAAACAATGGATTTACTCATCCATATGATGATAATTGCTCTCAAGAAAAATCTTGAGATGATCTATAATAAGTAAGCTTCCTTGAAATAAAATTCTTCAAAATGGTTAAAGATCTTGTGCTTAACCAATAAGAATCTGTCCTAGAATGGTTTACAGATTTGTGTGGTTTCAGCCATTTATACTTATCAATTTCTTCTGTTGATGTAATCATTTTTGTCTTATGTGGAAGCGTTTAGCCAAGAAAAGAGATCTACTGTTCTTTAGTTTAAGAAAATTGTTTCTGAAATGAGGTTCATGCATTCATTTCATAATTTGTACTTGGTTATGTGATTCTGTCTATCTTTTAAATGCAGGTTATTTGATCTCCTTAAATCATGCAAGGTTGATAGTCTTGACAGCAACAGCATATTCTATTTATTTTGTCAAAGTTCGTGTTGGATGGCTTGGCGTTTTCCTCTCAATAAACCTTGCATTTTTTTCTAATGATGTTTTAAATTATTTGCTCCAATTGTGCGACAATGTGAGAGAGAGTACACCATATGAAGAGCCAAAGGAATCAAAAAATGTTATGGAAGATGAGTTTTCTGCTGAATGTGAATACTCGGTTCCCATTGATGAGTCTGAGAAGGTGCAGTCATGCAAATCATCTAGCAAACCTGCCGCTACTTCATCTGTTATCAGGCAAACAGACATTTCTGTGAACAAGGTGGCTAAAGAAGAGGGAAGTTCAGCTGATGAGATGAAAAGAATATTGAATAGTGTGGACCATTATGAAGCACTAGGGTTTCCTCGCCACAAAAAAATTGATGCTGCTATATTGAAAAGAGAATACCGTAAAAAGGTAGATGCTAATTCTCTTCAAATAGGACAAACATTCCAGTGTGGTTATATTTAGTCAGTTTAGTTATCATTACCTCAATGGAGATACAATTAGCTGCAGTGGAAGGAATATTACTCTGCAGGTGATTCTAGAGTTAGCTTCTATTTTCACCTGTTGATTTATTTGTTGCAGGCCATGCTTGTCCATCCTGATAAAAATATGGGAAGTCCTTTGGCAAGTGAATCATTTAAGAAACTTCAATGTGCTTATGAGGTAAAAAACTGTATTGTTATCTCCATTATATATTTGTACTTTATTTATGTCTGAATCAAAATTGAACAAGGTCAAGGACCAAAGGATTGATTGGCCTTGGTCTTTGCTGCTGCTTACGGTGGCATGAATTTGTAGGTTCTTTCTGATTCTATCAAGAAGAGAGAGTATGATGAGCAACTGAGTAAGGAAGAATCGAGGACTAAGAGTGTTTGTCAAAAGTCCAATGGTAATTCATGGCAGGTAATTTACTAATTTTGCTTCTTGTGTTGGTTCTTGTATTTTCCAGATTTAATTTCATTTCTTTGGTGATTCTTATAATTTTTATGAAAAATAGTAGTGTAAATAGGATAATTTGTATGATTCAAATCACTTTATTTATCTTTGTAATGGTCTTAATATTTTATATTTTGAAATAGAAACCATTGTATTCTTCTTTTACTGTGATTTTCCATCCCATTTAATTAATGGACTGATTTTGGATTCCCAACTATGCAATCATACATTTGGTAAAGTGGTTTAGGATTTTACCAGTGTTACAGCCAGCTTTTGGATTGGTACTTACGTGACCCTGTATGCTGCTATGGTCAATGTCTGCATGCACAATTCTGTATTTTTTTTTTTTCTTCTTTTTGGTAAACGGGAAGCCACAAGGCACTAATCACATCTGACATAAGGTCTTGACCCTTCAACAAGACTACTTCTTTCTGCATGTAGTTCTTAGGACACCTTGTTGAGTGGTAATGTGACTGAATTTCCTCTGATGATGCTCTTACTTTCTGCAGCATGGTCAAGATCATTGCTCTGAAGAGTCAAGACGTATACAGTGCACAAAGTGTGGTAATTCACATATATGGGTGTGCACCAACAGAAACAAAGCCAAGGCTAGATGGTGTCAGGTTAGTCTTCTCTTTGTTCTGTGCACAACTCTTCTCCACTCTGTCCTTCCCCTTCTCACTCTCATGCACGTGCACCTAAGTGCTCTTCATTTCATAATTTTATCAGACTAGTTTTTGCTTCAGGATTGCCGTCAATATCATCAAGCCAAGGATGGTGATGGATGGGTTGAATACAAAGGATCCTTGGTATTTGATAAGCCCCAAAAGGTATGATTGTTCCAAAGAAACACTGATTTGTTTGATATATTCAATTGCTAATTAATTGGTTGATTTGCACAATCGACTGGTTGGAATCTTATCCATTTTCCTTCAATCATGAATGGTTGGTCAATTTGTTATTTTAACTGGTAAATCACTTAGCTTTGCATTGCAAAAGCAAACAGAGTAAGCCAGCGAACATGCTGCTGATTTCGAGCAATTTGAGACTTTTGAGTCACTGTTTCATATGTTCCTCAAGTCTGTATCTGGGATTTACATTCATACATCCATATCATTACTTTAAATACTATCAAGATCCCCCCCCCAAAGACAGTGATTATCATGTTTAAATATTATAATTATCCTCATCTGCAAAGATCTAAATGGTATATGATCATAAAAAATATTCAAGAACTGCTTAATAACAAAAACATCTAAGAAGGTACGGTGTAATTAAGAAGAAAATTTACAGATAGAACTTGAAGCTGTCCTTCATTGTAATTTCTATAATCATTTGCTGGCAATAGCTGGGATAACTTTCATCTCATTAGAGATGAGTCTCTTTCTCCCAAAGGGTAATCTCAACCAGTAAGGACTAGAGACTTCAAGTTGGAGGTCTAAGGTTCAAACTTTAAGACAGGTGGGGAGGAATTTGTGAAGGGAAGAGTTATCCTCTCTTATATATTGCCCATCATCAGCCGCACAAAAAAAAAAAAGAGTTTCTTCTAAACATTCAAAATAATTAATAATGTCCAATTTTCCTCTATTTTACTCAAGGCTTGGACTGCTTGGTTGATGTTAGTGTGTGATTTGTTATGTGAGCACTTTGCCCTATGGATCATTACATTATCAAGTTTCCCAATCAGTTTCTTTCAATTCTACCCATTTTGATGAGCTCTTATTATCTGTAGCACTTAGCACTTTGTTCTTCTGCCTGTATTTAGGTGGAGATACCACGTGCATTCGTTTGTGCTGAGAGCAGGATCTTTGATGTGTCAGAATGGGCTATCTGTCAGGTCAGTGGCTTATGTCATATATGTTTGAATTTGTTGCCAAGCAGTGATGTGAAGCAAATTACATAGAAAAAGAATTTAAAATAAAAAAAGAGCTCGAAAGAGCACTAAAAGAACAGGCAGACCTAGAGTTTATGTGTATGTGTGACAGGTTGAAACAAATTTCCCCTCTGACAAAACGTAGTTATAGTCAATTCATTGTAGGGAATAATCAGAATATCTCATGTTTCTAATAACAAAGTAAGTTTCCCAAATCGTTTTCATCAAATTTAACTGATAAAACCACACTAACTGTAACACAAAAGTATGTCTTAGGAGTAAATCACCACCCCAGCATTTTGTACTGATAATCTGATGATATTTTTCTTCCTCCTTCGATCTTCCATAGCATACAAGTTCTCCATTATTTTTTGCAACATTGTTGTTATTTTCTCTGTATCACCATCTGCCCTTCTTGTCTCCTTAATATTGGAGGTACATGTATAATTTTGAAACTCAAGTGCAAACATATTCCTGATATAAGCGAAGGTGTATTTTGTAACTTATATGAAATATATAAGCTAGATGAGAGCTGCCATAATACCATATTATTATTATTATTATTATTGGCACTGCTGCATTTAGTTAATTATCCTGAATGAACGTGTACTGCAGGGAATGGCATGTAGACCCAACACCCATCGGCCAAGCTTCCATGTAAACATGGTTGGGTTGGAGAAAACCCAAAGATCCAACTCAAGCAGATACCCCTGGGATTTGGATGCTGAGATGATAGATGAAGATGAAGAAGAATTTGAGTTGTGGCTTCAGCAGGCACTGGCCTCTGGCCTCTTCTGCGAACCCTCCAAACGCAGAAAAAGTTGGAGTCCGTTTAAGTTAAATCAGAAGAAAGGAAAGAAGCAATGGCGAAGATCTTCTACCTAAATGACTCAATGAAAGATGTTTTTGGGAAGATTCTTATTGCTCAACCCAGAGCAAAAAAAATTCAACAATACTTTCACTGGTTGAAGTGTATGAAATGGGTATGGAAAAAAAAAAAAAAAATCAAAATTCAGGAATGGATGGGTTGAAAAGGGTTATGGGCAGGTGACAATTTATGGAACAGATGAGATTGAAAACGGAACTACTGGGAGAGTTAGGACTGTATGATCTCATCAAGTAATGGTTGCGGTAATGGAAACACAAAAATTTGAAGGGGAAATAACATGTATTAGTCTTTCCTGTAGGTAGATCTGGAATGAATCGGTTTCGTTTAGTTCAATTCCCTGCCCTTTGTCTCTCAAGGCAGTGGAGAACAAAACTGATCTTCCTTGTATATCATTGTCTTAATGAAACCTTCTGTAGCTGTTTTGTCATTAAAAATGTTAATTCTTCTTAGCTTGTTTTCTGGTAATCCTATAGCATTAACACTTCGTTTAGCTTGTTTTGCAGTATGGACTGATCTAGACTGTAAAATAAGAATCAACATTCAATATTTTGTGGCATAACTCTTATGAAACAATTAGTATTTTACAGTCTGAATCAGTTTTTTCTTTTTGCTTCGATAAATCAATTCATATACTCCATTTTTTTGAGGAATTCATATGCTCCATTTCTGTAAATTGTATT